ATACCAGTATTGAAAGCTGCCAGGAGGTCCGGTAGAATAAATAGACACATAATAGATAATTCACCAAGACTACCAAAGCTGTGTCCATGCTATAACCAGGTCTAAAACCAGACTAAAATGGATTTAGAATTCTGCTTAAGTAGGAAAACTTGGTGTTGAAAGACCACCACACGCTCAAAAATGTAAAGTTTGTCAACAGTTATCTGGTATGGTAGGTTCTAGGGAAGGTTTATTTCAGAAAAGGTCTTGCCACCACCTTTTTTGGCATTAATTATTTCCCTCATTTATTCAAACAGCACTTCTCTGGCTTTTTAGTTAGCCAGCAAGGTTAAAGTCTTAGTACACATGTGGTGGCTCTTACCTGTCCAATGACTGTCTCCACATCCTCAGGCTGCACAAAGTGAAAAACATCAACACTGTACAAGCAGAGGTCAAGGTTCAGTCAATGCAACTTTATCAACTCTATCCAGATTCTTAACAATAGACTCTTCAGTTGCCTTACATTTTCCTTTGGGCCACATTGTAACAGATCCTTGACAGATCACTCCTCGCTTTAGTCTACTGTTAGTTTTTAAGCATGAATTTTAAACTTCTATCCTTTGTGCAATCCCAGTTTTCTGTATTTTAATATGTATTTTAAAGAAATATGTTTTAATATGTATGTTTTATAATATACATTTTAATATGTGTATTTTTGCGGTATTTTTGCAATGTGTATGTGTTTTAATTATTTTGTTACCCACCTTGAACCATGAGAAGAGGCAGGTAAGAAATAAAATTATTATTATTATTCCAATACTTCTGCTGATTCTACCTTCTCTTTAGGTCTTACTTCTTCAAGCAGTAGATCTAAAATGTTGTTTTTAGCAATATCCCCTGAAAAATTATCAATTTCAGTGGCATGCCCTATCAATGATTTGTAGCCCATAATAGGAAGCAACAGAATTTACTCTTGAGTTGATCTGCTCATATGAAAGTAGGACCCATTGTCATATAAGGCAACACATTCAAGCCATTTCCCATTCACAGATATATGTGGTCCACTTTACCACTTGTTAAACAGACTGGTGCATGTACATTACATATAGTTTAATCCTTGCAAAAGTTATCTGAAAATTTACAAAAAGCAACATGAGAACATCCGATCATCCTTTCAAAGAAGCACACAATAATAATAATAATAATAATAATAATAATAATAATAATAATCTTTAATTGTACCCCGCTACCATCTCCCGCAGGACTCGATGCGGCTTACAAAAGGCTGAGCCCAAAGTACATCTTAACAAAAACACAACAGACAACAATACAATCCAACAATAAATAAGCAAACAATAAAACAATAACAAAAGCGTGACACTGTTAAAAACCTGTGGCAGGGCCAAATGTAATCGTTAAAATTCTAAAAATGCTGGACATGTCCAGGTGAGGTAGAATGGATATTTTGGGAATAGAAGGGTGTGCAGACAATTCTAACTCTCTCATAAAGTGCATTAGGGACAATTGCTTGGGATTCCTTAATCTGGGAAGGCACACTGGAACATCCATGTTTTCAAGCTCCTCCTGAAGACAATTCCAGTGTTGGAACTAACCATGTCAGTACAGATCCCAACACTCTAAGCAGTCTCAGTGCTTCTTATTTTAAATTGTGCTTGCAACTATTTATAAATACATAACCTCAAATATATAGATGTTCTATCACTTTCCTCAATTTGGAAAAAATTCAGGGGATATTTTTCAGGGGAAAACACCTTTTTTTAAACAGAGAAATTGATTTTTTTAAAGAAATGAAATTCAAAGAATAAGAATCCAAATGAAGTTCTGGATACTAATATTGTATTAGTATGTGAACCTCCAGAACATCAGAAGTCTCTTGAGAAAGAAGAAGCTGCTTTGCTACTTTTGTACTGTTGCCTTTTCTTGTCAGTTACATTAAGTAAGTGACCCTAGTTTGAACTCTCTGAAGAACAGGGAGACAGAGATAGAAATAAATTAGTGACAGGCTAGAGAAACTGTATCCATTCAACTTTCTCTTCCCTCCTGGGGTCTCTCTGAAATGGGGGTATGTCTGAAATGAACAGGATTTCTAAACTTGACACCCAACCCCCTTCCTCTTACAACATCCACTCAGGGTCACTTAACTCTTAATTCCTCAGTAACTAGACATATATTGTTCTGTGACATCAAGATCCAAGAACTTATCCTGTTTACTTTCTTGTATTGTAGGGCATGAATAAGGAACTAAAAGCACACTCACTGGAAACAAAGGATGAGTTGTCGTAAAGTTTATTAAATCTTTGTTCAAGTGGGCCTATTGGAGACAATACATAACTGCTGTACCTTAATATGATGCTGGCCAGGATAAATGCATGTTGAGTATCCTTTATCCAAAATGCATGGGACCAGAAATGTTCTGAATTTTGAATATTTTTGTAACACGTAAGAAGCCAGTTTGGAGATATGACCCTATCCTAAACATCAAGTCTATGTATGCATATACATATAAATAAGTTTCAAATACACCTTAATGATTTATTTATAGCCTGCCCTGTCTCCCTGAGGGGACTCAGGGCAGCTTACAACAAAATAAAACACAATGCAAACATTCAATATTGAGGGTAAATATAACATATCCTGAGAGTAAATGTATACAATATTTTGAATAACTCTGTGCATTAAATAAAATACACCACCAAAAAGAAAAGATCCCACCTACTTAACACTGTTTCTTAATTCTGTTTTTAAAACTATATTTTAATGTCTTCACTCATGTTTTACGGACCTGTTACTGTTTGTTTCACTGCTGGCCATTGACTGAAATATTATACACACACAAGACACACACACAGGAGTAAAGATTTTCTCTTGACATGAAGTACAGTTGTGTCTGACTCTGGGGTGTGGTGCTCATCTCCATTTCTATGCAGAAGAGCCGGAGTTGTCTGTAGACACCTCCAAGGTCATGTAGCCGTTACCTTCCCGCTGGAACGATACCTATTGATCTACTCACATTTGCATGTTTTCGAACTGCTAGGTTGGCAGAAGCTGGGGCTGACAGCAGAAGCTCATGAACCTGCGATCTTTCAGTCAACAAGTTCAGCAGCTCAGCACTTTAACCCACTGCACCACCGGGAGCTCCATATATATATACATACACACATGCAATCCCTGAGTTACAAACATCCAACTTATATACTACTCCCAGTTAAGAACTCCTAAAAGAGTTATCGTGGGGGAAAGGTGTCTCCACTGAAGCTTTCTCACCAAGCCTTGTTTCTACAACAAGCCAAATTTTTCAAAATCCAATTCTCACAGAAAGGGACAGAAAGTGAGGCGAGATCTTCTCAACAAACAAACAACAAAACAAACACCACTGGGGGAGTGGGGGTAATCCTTGCCTATGTTGTCCAAAACTAAAGCATATATGTATAGTTGGCTGGAGTTACACTTATAAAATGACCCTGTTTCAACTTACAGACAATTTCAACTTAAGAACAAACCTACACAATTGATCTTGTTCATAACTTGGGAACTGACTGTATAATACAGGGGTCTTCAAACTAAGGCCTGGGGGGCAGATACGGCCCTCCAAGGTCATTTCCCCGGCCCTCGCTCAGGGTCAACCTTAGTCTGAAATGACTTGAAATCACACAACAACAACAACAATCCTATCTCATCAGCCAAAAGCAGGCCCACACTTCCCATTGAAATACTAATAAGTTTATATTTGTTAAAATTGTTCTTCATTATAATTATTGTATTGTTTTTAAGTGTTTTTTGCACTACAAATATGTGCAGTGTGCATAGGAATTCATTCATGGTTTGTTTGTTTTTTCAAATTATAATCAGGCCCTCCAACAGTCTGAGAAATGTGACCTGGCCTTCTGTTTAAAAAGTTTGCAGACCCTTGGTATAATATGTATCCAACAAAGGTGCCACTGTCTCAACCATCCATATTTTATTTATTATTTATTTATTATTTGAACTTATATGCCGCCACTCCCCTGGGGCTCGGAGCGGCTTACAAGAACAGGCTAAAATTGGACACAATTTAAAAACAATTTACAAACAGCAATCAAAGATCAAAGGCCTGTCGAAACAGATATGTCTTACATGCCCTGCGGAAAGCTGATAAGTCCTGCAAGGCATGGACTTCAGGTGGCAGAGTATTCCAGAGTGATGGTGCCACTGCTGCGAAGGCTCTGCATCTGGTTGCTGTTAGACGCAAGGTCTTGACACTGGGAATTTCCAACAAATCTTGGTCTTCAGAACGAAGGGATCTCTGGGGTTGGTAGGGGGTGAGGAAAAGGTATGGGGAAAATCTGGATTCCTGGATATACCTATAAAGCAGGCATGGGTGAATTTAGGCCCTCCAGGTGTTTTGGACTGCAACTCCCATCATTCCTAACAGCCTCAGGCCCTTTCCTTAAGCGGCTGAGGGGGAAAAGGAAGGGGCCTGAGGCTGTTAGGAATGGTGGGAGTTGCAGTCCAAAACACCTGAAGGGCCTAAATTCACCCATGCCTGCTATAAAGCTAAGGTGCTCTGAAACTGCATGGACAGTCTGGAAAGAGATTCAGACAGTACCAGTGGGAAAGGGGTCCCCTTCCTCCACTCAATCTACACTTCCATGAAGCAGCAGCAGTAAGTGCCAGGGGCTGTTTAGCGCCTCCATTTATTATTATTATTATTATTATTATTATTGTTATTGTTATTGTTATTATTATTATTATTATTATTACCCCGCTTAAAGCCCCCAATGAGGCCTCAAACCATTTATTATTATTATTATTATTATTATTATTATTTATACCCTGCATTATCCCCCAAAGAGGACTCAAAGCGGTTTGACATAAAAGCATTAGTATCCTATTTAAAAAATACAAATATACAAACAGTAAAACAGAATTAAACACAAATTCACAGTTAAAATCTGTATTAGCAGCAAGCGAGCCTGCAGGCCACAACCCCCCCCCCCCCCCCCCCCCCCCCCCCCCCCCTGGAGCAAGCTGCTTCCCAGGGCGCTAAGGGTGTATCTCCCCACAGAAGAGGCACCCCTTTCCTTCCCTGCATCCCTGCCCGCCATCCCCACAAGCTGCTTTCGCCTCCATTATTCCCTGCAAGGCCTCCCTTCCGCCTGTGTTTCCAGGCCAGGCCTAAGAAGAAAGACACAGGCAGGCAGGCTGAGAGAGAGACCTCTGCAGAGACGAGATGCCAGTCCACTTACCACCCAGGTTAGACCCCCGCTGCCGCCTCCTGCTCCTCCTCCTCCTGCGCCGCCTCCTCCTCCTCCTCCTCCTCCTGATTTTGCCATTTTCCTGGCCTTTTCCTCAGTATATAAATAGTTATAAATACAAACGATTAAAAAGAAAGGGGAAGGTAGAGCCTCTCTGTCCTTCTCTCTCAGCCCTTCTCTCTCTCTCCCTCACGCCCACCCTTCTTCCCTCACGCGGCGCAGATCTTTCTTCCCTGAGGGGCGGGGGTCCCTTCGGCATCTACTACATACGGGGAGATGCTTTCCTTCCCACCCAGCGCGCGCCCTCGCCCACATTCACTCCCTCAAACCGGGCCCAGCGCGGCTCCTGCTGCTGCTGCTACGGCTGCTACGGCTGCTGCTTCTGTTTCTGTCCCCCCCCACCCCTCCCCGGGCGCGCGCGGGGGCCTCTCTCGCTCGCGCTAATGCGCGCGCACGCCCATTCACTCACACACTCACACACACAGACTGCTCTCTTTCTCACCCCCCCTCCCCCTCCTTTCCTCTCTCTCTCTTTCTTCCGCCAGGCCCTCACTCAGCCTGATGTGGGGGAGGGAAGCGCGCGCGCGAGCCAGCCGGCGTGCGGGCATGCATGCGCGCGCATCCATCCAGTCTGCGCGAGACCTGCCGCCGCCGCTGTTCACATTCTCTAGCGCATGCGCACCCAATCTCTTCACGCGCCGATAGCAGGCTCGCGCACAACATTCCTCCCCCCTCCCCCTCCTCTTGTCTTCTGTCTCTTTAAGGCCACACAGGCGGACGTTTATTTTATTCTTGAGGTGAAAAACCGGCGTGGGGGAGGTGAAAAGCCGACATATATATCTATGTAATTTTTTAGACACGCGGGGGAATTGCCCACGCTTCGCCGAGGCCTAATCCCCCTCAGACAATAACTGCGCGGCTCTTCGTCCGGCATCACTGGCGTAGCCTCCAAGCGCCCTTGCCCCGCCCCTTCTGGATCGACCGGCCAATGGCGAGCGAGAGGTTGTCCTCGTCGGCCAATCGGTAAAAAGAATACTGAAATGGGGATACCCTCGTCACCCCGCGTGGCAACAGCGAGACCGGCTCTGACGGGAAGGTGCCGCCCCGACTCCGACGTCGAAATGGGTTCGCCATGGCTGGCATAAGTTAAGCACACGAAGAAGGCTTAGTGTAGACGCGCCCTAAGATGGGGCCGCAAGCATAGGCCGCAGTAAGGAAGTCTCTGGGTGCATCTACACCAGGCCTAGGCTAACTCCAGCGCTGCAGGAGTTTTGGACTTCAACTCCCACAATTCCTCACAGCCCTAGGCCCCTTCCTATTCCCCCTCACAGCTTCAGGTCCCTTCCTTTGCCCCCTCGCAGCTTCAGACCCTTTCCTTTTCCCTCTCAGTCGCTTAAGCAATTCATATGTAGGGAATGAGTTCATAGGAGCCAAAAAAGAATGGGAAAAAAGTCCAAAAGTCTCAAAAAGGTGTCTGATTATTTCCACTGAGCCAAAGGATGGATTCCTGCAACGCCGAGATCAAGTTCGTCTTTTGTCCTTGGGAAACTATAACTCCCTCCAAGGACTGGGACCTCCATGCCAGGCTCTTCCCTGCGAGCCTCATGGGATAACCACGCCAAGTCTTCAAGGTCAGGGGTCTGGTGGAGGCGATGAGATGGCGGAGCGCAGAAGCAATGGAGCCGGCTTTTTTGACAACCAGCTGTTTCTTGCAAAATATATTCTTAAGAATTAAATGATTATTTCCGAAGAGTAGAAGTCCGAAATGCAAAAAGTGAGATAGCAGATAGGGATAGAATTAAGCTAGGAAAAATATGCCATCAAAATGGAGACGATTCGCCCTCGCGCGGATACTGGGGCCCAAAAGGTGAGATTCAGTATCCGCAGTTGGAGAAACGTAGATTCGGCCTCCCCGGAACGCCAGAAAGGCATCCCGGGCAGGCCTGCAGTCTCCTGCAGCCTGGAAAAGGTTAGTTTCATTCATTTAGGCAGTTCAGGCTTGGAAAGACACAAAGTATCAAGCCAGAGAGTTAAAAGTTGCAGTTTCATTAATCTTTATTTGGGCTTTGTTACAAAGTTGGAGCTGAGTAGGAAAGTGAAAAGAGAAAGCGCAGGTCTGTTTTGAGTCCCTGGTTGAGCTCGCTGTTGGGGCACATTTCATTAGTTTGGCCCAATCTTTGCTTCCAGGAACTGCGGAACTCCCTGCTGCAGGTCAGATTAATTTAAAAGCAGAGGTCTGAGCTGCGCTCGGTATCACCAGCTGCTGTGATCAGTCTGATTTAGGTAAATCTAATAGTGTAATTGAAACAATTTGGTAAATAATGCACTAAAGAAAAAGACACTGTGCACATGAAACGAAAATCAAGTTTATTTTCACTGACTTTGAAATCTTGTAGCAAGAATAATCTGAAGTGTAATAAATTATTTATTTCGTATCAAAATCATTGCATAAATCAGTATAAAACTGATAAAAATAGAAGGAGCACAAGTGGCTAAATATTTTCCGACCAAAAACAGGCAACAGCAACCGCATTGTCTGTATCTTTAAACAATTCTTTCTCTGTACATGAAGCAGGGCATTGTGGACAAACATACAGGTGCGGAGTTGTTTGTTCTGCTCCACAGTCGCACAAGGTGGAGGATTCTTCTAGGTCAGGGGTCCTCAAATTTTTTAAACAGAGGACCAGGTCACAGTCCCTCAAACTGTTGGATGGCCGGATTATAATTTGAAAAAAAAAACATGAATGAATTCCTATGCACACTACACATATCTTATTTGTAGTGCAAAAAACACTTAAAACAATAAACTAATTAAAATAAAGAACAATTTTAACTAATAGAAACTTATTAGTATTTCAATGAGAAGTGTGGGCCCACTTTTGGCTGATGAGATAGGATTGTTGTTGTTGTGTTCATTCAAGTCGTTTCCTGTTGATCCTGAGCGAGGGCCAGATAAATGACCTTGGAGGGCCGTATCCGGCCCCCAGGCCTTAGTTTGAGGACCCGTGTTCTAGGTAGTGCCATTTTGCCAGGATGTCTTTTGATCTGCTCACTCTGCTTCTGTTCAGGGACTCCCAAGTTGCCCGTTCTTGGGATTTCCTGGTTTAGCTGCCCAGAGGGATAATTTCCCATTGTGATTTCCTGGTTTAGCTGCCCAGAGGGATAATCTTGCTATTGCTGGGGAGACATTATGGGGAGTGGTGGTTCTCATAAAGCTTTTTCTCTATTTGAGTCTACTGGAAGGAGGCTGATAGCCATGCAGTGGATGACTTTCACAGCATTCAACCTTATTTCTCTCACAGTTAGCAGCAACTTCCCATTGCACATTGGGGGGGGGGGCGGGGTGGGATACCAGCTTGCTTGTAGAGTCTATCAACAGGTGTAGGTTTGAAACACCCTGTGATTATTCTGCATGTTTTGTTCAATCCTATGTTCACCTGCTTCACTGGGCAGACTCGTGCCAAACAGGGCAGGTATACTCAGCAGTTGAGGAAGACAAGGCCAGAGCTGATATTCTTATTAATTTTGGGTCTGCACCCCATGTACTGCCAGTAAGTTTCTGCAGAATGTTATTGCATACAACTACTTGGTGCTTGGTGTTCATACAGTGTTTCCTAAACGTTAGTGTTCGATCTAAGGTGACACCAAGATGTTTAGGATGGAAACAGTGTTCAAGCTCTTGGCCTTCCCAGGTAACTTTCAGTTTCCTGTTGGCTTCTTGGTTACATAGATGGAAAGCACACACTTGTGTCTTGGCAGGGTTAAGCATCAGGTGGTTATCTTTGAAGTAACTGGAGAGATATTTCAAAGCAATAGTAAGTTGGTTCTCAACTGTTTCAAAATCTTTTGCTTGTGTTGTTGGGCCAAGGTCATCAGCATATATAAAGCTCTTTGTGGGTGGTTGCTGTGGCTGATCATTAGTAAAGATGTTAAACAAGGTCGGTGCAAAAAAGTGTAATAACTAAGAATGTGATTTCACTTTCTCTTCCCAAGCTGCCTTAAATGGAAAGCAAGTCAAAAATAAAATAAGCAAACGTTTTTAAAATCTGTATAAGCAATTTTTTTCTGTCCAAAGTATTTTACATAGCACTCTTCAAAATTAAATATAACTGGAGATTTGTAGAAATGTAAATGTAAAGAAAAAAAAGGAAGCAGAAATAATTAATGATTTAGAGGTAATATGTTATCTGACTTGTTTCCAGTGCCTTTCTTGCTGTGGTAAACACAACTTTTGGAAATACCTCTTCTTGGTTGCTAGCAACCTGACCATTTTATTTCCAAGTCAAGTAAAGAAATAATTCTTTACTTTTATTAAGTACAGAGACACTGGCCCTGAGAAAAATGCACATGAATACAAATAATTTTTCATACTATTTATTTATAGTTTTGGGGATTGATAACCTTCACACAGACTAGTCTGGAATGGAAATGTTATGTTTAATGCTTGATGAGGTTACATTTATACTTGTAAATAAATTATGTCAGGAAAAGCTTGAAGTAGGAGGAAGGACATCAAATAATTATCAAATCTTCAGATCTTCTGAAGATGCCAGCTATAGTTACAGGTGAAAATGCTGCTAGAACACAGGTATACAACCCAGAAACCACACAACACTCCACATTCCTAAATTTATTTTTAAAGTTTTGGCACCCAGTTCACAGCTACTAAAAAGCCACCCATAGACCACAGGATCTAGAGACCCTAGCTTATAGGTTGATTGAGGTATTCAGTGGAACCTCAGTACTGTATCACAGTCAGAAGTCAGGCTGTTGTGTTACTTTTGAACTAGATGAAGTTTCTACTCATCTATGTCACAATATAAATATCTTTATCTTGAGGGGAGTGAGCTGGTGCAATTGTCTAAAAATTGGTAGAAGATGCTTTGAGCCATGAATGCTTATCTAGTGTTGACAGTTAATTCTAAAACACAATAAAGCTAAAAATCTACTATTTAGAGGAGGGGTGGATAAAGCGCAGCTTCTCTTTTATATCCCCTG